GGTCGTCAAAGAACGATTCGACAGTCACTTCGTCGCGGCCCGCAACATTGTGTACGAAAGCGCTTGCTTCCACCGTCGCAGTCAGAAGCCAGGCGAGACCGTTGACCAGTTTGTCACGGCTCTGCACACTGTGGCAGAGAGGTGCGACTTCCAAAACTTCAAGGAGCGGATGATTCGCGACCGCTTCGTCGTCGGACTTCGGGACGCGAAACTCTCCGAAACCCTCCAGATGGATGCAGACCTCACGCTGGCGACCGCGCTTGCCAAAGCGCGACTCAAGGAAACTATCCACCAGCAACAGCAGGAACTTCGACCGGGGGCCGGTGACAACGCAGTCATATCGGCAGCGGAAACGGAAGTGGACTTCGTCGCCAAGAAGTCCAGCTCGGCACAGGGCCGGTACAAGACGCAAGACTCAACCCGTCGCGGCGTCGCGACGCCTCGACAAGGCAGTGGCCAGCGGTGTTTGTTCTGTGGAAAAGCGTCGCATCCAAGGTCGGCCTGTCCAGCCAAGTCAGCGAAGTGTCACCACTGCAACGTGAAACGGGCGCAGAGGTATCCGTGGTGCCATCTACATTTCCTGGCATCCCGTCGAGACTAGAAAGAACAGGTGTTGTCTTGACCGGTCCTAGCGACGAACGCCTAAAGGTTCTGGGAAAGTTCACCGCAAAAATCCGCTGGAAACAGGCAATGATAAGGCAGAAGGTATACGTTGTTGCGTCGTTGCGCTCAGTACTCTTGGGACTTCCAGCGGTGGAAGAACTAGGAGTAGTAAAATTTGTGAATGGAGTGGGATCTAGCGAAGCTTATGAGTCTCGCTACCCTCAGCTGTTCCAGGGGCTAGGAACTTTCACCGGAGAGTACACTATCCGCCTTAAGCCGGGCTCTGTTCCGCACTCGGTCCATGTGGCACGTCGAGTTCCTATTCCGATGAGGGACGCGGTCAAGCGCGAACTTGAAAACATGGAACGTCAGGGGGTGATACGAAGGGTAGAAGGGCCTACAGAGTGGTGCGCTGGAATGGTCCCAGTATTGAAACCCTCGGGCGATGTTCGCATTTGTGTCGATCTAACTCAGCTGAATCGATGTGTCCTCAGGGAGCGTTATGTACTGCCCACCGTCGATGACACTCTGGGTCTTTTGAGTGGGGCAGCAGTTTTCTCAAAACTAGACGCCAACTCGGGGTTCTATCAAGTTAAACTGTCAAAAGACTGCCAGCTCTTAAACACTTTCATAACTCCCTACGGAAGGTACTGCTTCGAACGTCTACCTTTCGGAATTACTTCGGCCCCCGAATATTTTCAAAAAAGAATGTCAGAAATCTTGGCGGGTGCACCGGGCGTTGTTAACCTCATGGATGATATCTTGGTTTACTGTGCCACAAGGGCTGAGCATGACAAGCGCCTCCAGCAGACGCTTGAAACACTTGCACAGGCGGGCGTAACTTTGAACAAATCCAAATGTTGTTTCGGGGTCACCGAAATTTCGTTTTTGGGTTGCTTCGTCAGCAAGGATGGAATAAAACCTGATCCGGACAAGGTAACTGCTATCAAAAACTTAGAAACGCCACGAACAGTAGCTGATGTGCGTAGGTTTCTTGGCATGGCTAATCACCTCGCACGATTTCTCCCGCATCTGTCGGAAACGAGTGCTCCCTTGCGGCAACTACTGCAAAAGGGTCGCGAGTGGACCTGGGGTCCAGCCCAGGAAGAAGCACTTGCTAGCATAAAAGAAATGATATGTTCAAACCGCTGCATGGCTAAATACGACCCGCGGTATCCCACAATACTCTCCGCAGACGCCTCTGCATTTGGTCTAGGCGCAGTATTGCTCCAAGAGCAAGAAAAGAATGAACGCCGTCCAGTGGCGTTCGCCTCAAGGTCTTTAACACCGGCTGAGTCGCGTTACGCTCAGATTGAGAAGGAGGCTCTTGCCTTGACTTGGGCGGCGGAGAGGTTTGAGGCATACCTGAGAGGGCTCGAAGTGCAGTTTGAAACGGATCACAAGCCGTTGGTGACCTTGCTGGGGAAAGCTCCACTTGACTTGCTTCCTCCGCAAGTTCAGCGGTTTCGAATGAGGCTCATGCGCTTCAGTTTTAGCGTTGTCTACGTGCCTGGAAAGAACCTTGTCACTGCGGATGCTCTATCGAGAGCACCCCTCCGAGAGAGGCGAACAGATTCGAGCGGAATGTCTGTATCGGATCTCACAAAGTTCGTGGAGGGCTGCATCGCTAGCGTGGCCGAAGTTAGCCATATCGAAAAAGTAAAGCAAGGCCAGGCGGCAGATGAAATCTGTCAAACTCTAGTTCGCTTCTGCCGGAGAGGGTGGCCTAGCTATCAGTCGCTGCCGGTTTTCTTACAACCGTACTGGCAAGCGAGAGCGACAATCACCATTTGTAATGGAGTACTGATGAAGGACACACGGCTCATCATTCCTCAGTGTCAAAGGGCCGAGGTGCTGCGTCACCTGCATGACGGCCATCAAGGAATTGTAAAATGTCGATCGAGGGCACGTGAGTCTGTGTGGTGGCCGGGTTTGGGCTCGGACCTTTCCGCTTTGGTAAACAACTGCCGGGTGTGCGCGGAATCCCGCGAACAGAATGCGGAACCTATGATTCAGACCGAAACGCCACAACTGCCTTGGCAGAAGGTTGGTGTCGATTTGTGCCAAATCGACGGTGCACTTGGTAGTTGTCGACTATCTGTACCGATACCCAGAGCTAGCCCGCCTCACCAGAATCACCAGTGGCATTGTAATCACCCACTTGAAAAGTATTTTTGCACGGCACGGAATACCCGATGTAGTTTTCTCGGACAATGGAACGCAATTTGTCTCCTCAGAATTCCAGTGTTTTGCACGAGAGTATGGATTCCAGCACGTCACGTCGAGCCCGAGGTACCCGCAGGCTAACGGGGAGGTAGAGAGGATGGTTCAAACCATAAAGAGCCTTATCAAAAAGTCTAGTGACCCCTACCTCGCCTTGTTAGATTACAGGGACACCCCGGGACCCCTAGGGAAAAGTCCGGCCGAACTGCTTATGGGCCGACGGCTGCGGACTACGATTCCGCTGCATCCCAGCAAGCTGGAGCCTAAGGTTGCGAACCAGAATCGTGTTCGCCAAAAAGACCGTGCCGCAAGAGCAAAGCAAAAACAAAATTTCGATCGCCGTCACGCGGCTAGGGGGCTACCTCCACTGCGGCCAGGTGACCAAGTTTGGGTGAAAGACTGCAAAGAAGCAGCCACAGTCCTACGACCTGCAAATCGGCCAAGGTCGTACGTTCTTAGAATGCCCTCGGGATCGGAATTAGAACGAAACAGGAGATTTCTCGTGTACCTCAAACCAAACGAGGGCAGTTACGATATTCCCGGCGGCGTTGACTCGCCTACCACGAGCTCTAGTTTCTCTGGGTTACAAGAAGAGCAGGGTGGCAATTCTGATGAAAGTGTCAAGTCACATAGCTCGTTGCCCCGTGGTTCACCTCCCGTTCATGTGACACGCTCGGGACGCGAGGTGCGAAAACCGCACCGCTATGGGGTTGCTTGTTAACCTTTCAAAACTGTACTTAGCGAATGTCAAATGTCCTGTCACTTTCTTTTGTACTTTTGTTGAGTTGCGCGAGTGCAAGACATTACCTTGTGTTTTCTTTGTGTATCAAATGTTCAAAAGAAAAAGAAAAAAGAAAGGGAAATGTGGTGTTACCGGCATATGCGACCGGCTCGAGTTACCTAGCGGGCGCGGCCGTTTCGAGACCTCACGGGGTTTCGTGTTAGCCGGCGGCCGGAGGCGCCGCTGAGTCGGAGTCCAAGGCCACGGCCAAGGCTGCGCCGGGTCGACTAAAGATGACGCAATGTTCTAGAAAGATCGCAGCCTGTTGCCAGGCTCCCGGCTGTATGTATATATACGTAAGGAAGACGAATAAAGGGGGTTGTTGTCTGGTTGGGCCTTGAGAGCGAGTCTCTGTCTTTTCTTTGGCGTCGTAGGCCCGAGCAGCGGCCTAACGCTACAACTTTCAAGTGTCTATTCCCAGCTATTCAACTGACTTTCCATTTATGAAGATGTCGCGCTAGGGCGAAAAGTACGCATTTTGTACTCTGTGTTGCTGCGATGTCAACATTTCGCACGCTGTTCGCTAGGACATTCTGTGCCATCTGAATACAAAAAAGCACAAGTACTCGGGAAAATTAGTTGAAACCAACGAGAAGCTTGGAGGGTACTTTAGTCTATCAACGCATTACGACACTAGCCGAGCAGAATGCCTTTTTACTGCATTTTTGATAGAACACAACGTGCCATTCACAGCGGTTGTTGTGGAGACGTCAAAAGAGCAAGAACTTTGCTTTTTATCGTCTTCGTTAAACCAGGCCCAGGCGAAAGCGTTTTCAGCAAAGTAAAGAAGGCACGCACGCAGTTCCGCGCCTCCATGTCGAAAAGGACCCTTGAACAGTTGTTAGTTGTGAGATGCACCCAGTCCGGAAAATGCCATGAACAAGTGTTCGACAACAACTTCCTAAGAAAAGCAAAAGCTGAAACTTCCTCAGTGTTGGCCCAACCTTCTACTTCTAAAGAATAGACATTTCATGCAATGTATGATGTGCTTGTGCCCTAGCGGAGGCATTTTTCTTACCTAAACCAAGTTTTTGAAGAATGAAACAGTGTTCGTATTTCTTCACACAATTGTAGTGTTTTTTTTTGGCATCCCCTGGAGTATTTTCAGCATTGTAGGGTTGGCAGGTCTGTATTCGGCATTTGGGCGATGTGCATGGAAGTCTGCTTTTTAGTGTCCACGTATAGACTACAATTTGGGTCGTTAGCATGATCTGTTTGGTCATTTGCCAAGCTTGTTTCATGAATTGTATGATTGTTCTCAAGTGTAGACTGGGGCTATGTGTATTTTTGGAGTGCACATTCTGGTCTCTCCCTGTGGTGATTACCAATGTTTGCAATCTTTTATCTGGATGAGTGAGCAGGTTCCCATGTGCTCATGCTTGCACTTTTCCAGATCACCCCAGCCAGGCCCAGGGAGCTGTCGGCCCTGAGCAAGCGACACAAAACTGTCACCAGGACCTACGGTGGCTCCCGCTGCGGCAAGTGCGTCAGGAGCAGGTGAGGACGACTTCCCTCGTTCCTTGGGATTGCATGCACCACATTCGTGTTGCTTATTGCTAGGGCCAGATGGTGGGAGCAAAAAACTACTGCATACAGTAAGTAGTGTATTTATTTGATGTAGCCTCGACTTTGAGCATAAAGGCAAGCAGCGATGAACTTTCATTTATTCTAACATACAGGGGAAACGCCCGCCCCACTTACACTGTTAACTGGATTAATCTAGACATGGGTACTTGTCCGGTCAAAGCAGGCACTTACAGTACATTGCAGTCTGCCAGGTGGCTTTTTGATTTGCCTTTGTGGACGTCACAGACTTCAAGAGGGACACCTTTCACGTCAAATCTTCTGCAAGGCCGCGTTCCCATTTGCGGAAAAAGGCAGTGCTGTTGACATTTGTGGCCACTCGGCGCTTTCATGCGGCTCCGGTCTCTTGGGGATATTGGAGCAGTCAGCTGCTAGCTCTAATGGTGTTTGAAGAAATGCCCTTGCAGACTTCCTCTAGCTGTTAACGCTAACCTGCAGTGCCGAGAAAATGCCTGATATTCTCTTGGCGATACGGAAAGGCACTATTTTATTAACGACCAACGGAGACACTGTGTATACGCACTGTCTTCGTTGCTTGGATGCCTCTTGTAGAATAGGGTTGAATAGTTTAGTCTCAATCGGCATTTCTGCCGACACGACAATACCATTCAGACTTATACAACTTGGGAACTCCAACAACTGTGGCGACTCTGCCACGATGTGACGCCGGCAAGCGCCATTTCCTCTGTGCGTTCATTGGTTGCGGTGGTGTCGAAACTTCTTGCGCGGGGTAGATCGGACCCAAAGCAATTGCTTTTGCGGTCGAATATTCTGTTTCCAGCAAGGGAATTCCCCTCCCCGCATTAATTTCCCTGCGAATCCGCAAGTGTGAACGAGCCATAATACAAATTTTTTAATTTTTTGTGTGCTGCTTCAGTTCCAAGTTGACCTTTTTTTTTCTTTTTTTTTGACAAGTAAGTCTTTTCCTTGGGCCTCTTACAATACGCACTACGATTTAGGCCACTGACTGATATATGTAATGCGATCTTTTTTCACAAGACGATAGCGGTATGGTTCCACATGATTGATACAAATGAAAACATTTTCACCTGTACTCCTTGTCATTAGTTGCATGCAGTGCAGGCGAAGGCAACGCCAGGCGAAGAGAGGAAGGGTGAACATTGTGAAAGCGGGACTGGTGAGGAGGGCAACAGAGGGCGAGGGAAGAAAGGGAGAGCTCTAGGAATATTAGATAAAAGAGGATGTTTCTCTCCTCCCCAGCCTTCCTAGTGCTTGCCCTTTCTCCCCTCGCCTGGCATTGCCTTTGCCTGTACTACACGCAACTAGTGACACGTAATATAGTGTGGAGTGTGAAGCCATGGCAAAGCATACTGCAGCCTCCAGTATCTCTCTGTCAGTTCCTTTTTTTATGCTGAGGATGGCTGATTAGTTCTGCCGTCCATACTAATACCTGGCTGGCACCATTGTTGTCAGGCTTCGCTTGTGGACAAAAGAAACATCTCCTCAACCACCCATTACTGCCTCTGAAGTGTTTGTTTCACTGGCGGAAAGACGTGCGAGGGACAATTTGTATCATTTCCCATTCATGTTACTTTGAGAAACATTTTTTTCATCCAAACTTGAGAGCATACACATTTCAGTGCCTGTATGATTCATTTGGGTTCACAAATAGTCGCAGCCACAGCTCATTCTAGAACATGCTAGGTGGCAGACTGTGGCAGCTCGCTCTGTACAAGACTGTAAAAATCTTAGTTGGACCTTGCACACCTGTCAGACAGCTGCCCTGAAAATGAAATAGCTGCAAAAAAATACCGTAAAATCTTGAGAGATGCCCCACCCTTGAAAGATAGCCCACCCCTATTTTTGGCTTGATTTGCTATATTTTTTAAAACACCGAAAGCTAGCCCACTTTAATTAATATACTCGGCGACAACTTTTCTTGGCAATGCAGTGGAAGGTACGTCCCGCGTCCCCTCTCTCATTTTGAGTGTACGCAGGCTTTCTTTCTCCCCCATTTCCGGGGAGAGGAGGAGAGCCTGCATACACTCAAAATGGGAGAGGGGACGCGGGACGTACCTTCTACTGCATTGCCAAGAAAAGTTGTCGCGGAGTATAGTAGTGTTGGGATCAATGATGACCTTGGCGTGAATGTATTAGTTTGCTATGGTGGGATATAAGTGAACATTGCCGATTTTGAAGTACAGTCACCTTTGCCATAAAATTTAAAAGCGCTAATAAAAACAAGGACAGAAAGGAAGGCAAACAGGACGAGCGCTTACTCTCAACTGAACATTTATTTAAAAACAGCTAAAGCAAACAACCTCTGACAAAGAAAATACACTGAATCACTCACTGGCATCACTCATCACCACGTGTCAATAAAATCACTCTTTGGTGCAAAAAATTGACAGCTGGCTGACACAGCCTTCAGTGCCCTCTTTCTTTATAGCATGCGCTTCAAGCACTTCCCTTGCAGCTTTTTCACAAGCCCTCCCCACGATAGTGGTATTTGAAAAGTTGGGCTGGCACTGACAGTCTCTGCAACGAGGGGGCAAGTGTCCTCCAGGTGTTGAGCGTAAAGCCAGGTCATGCTCGCGCATCCTCTCATTTACGCACCGTCCTGCCTGGCCGATGTGCACTCTACCGCATGCCAGCGGTATTCTGTACACCATGCCCACATTACAATCTACAAATCTTTTGGCATGATTGATGGTGCATAAGCGCGTCACTTTTTTTTCCGCAGATTGTATTTGGGGCGTGGGAGTGTACATCGGCCAGACAGGACAGTGCGAAAATGAGAGGATGCGCGAGCATGACCTGGCTTTACGCTCAACACCTGGAGGGCACTTGCCTCTTCATTGCAGAGACTGTCAGTGCCAGCCCTACTTTCACAATACTACAATTGTGGGGAGGTCTCGTGAAAAAGCTGCGAGGGAAGTGCTTGAAGGCTGCGTCAGCCAGCCGCCAATTTTTCTGCACCAAAAAGAGTGATTTTATTGGCGCGTGGGGGATGAGTGACGCCACTGAGTGATTCAGTGTATTTTTTTGTCAGAGGTTGTTTGTATTAGCTCCTTTTAAATAAATGTTCAGTTGAGAGTAAGCGCTCGTCCTGTTTGCCTTCCTTTTTGTCCTCGTCTTTGTTGGCGCTTTTAAATTTTATGTCGTGAACCAACTCACCCGCTTCGCCACTTTAGTTCAGTCATCTTTGCTTCGTTGCCCCTTGCCACCGTAACAAGCTTGGAAGGGACACAACCTAAAAATAGCAATTTTTTTTAAACTTGATCGTACACTGAAAGTTAGCCCACTCCATATTTTCAGCCGATTTACTTTTGATGTTCGGTGGGTTTTCTCTCGGGATCTTACAATAGTGTGGTAATCTAGGGACTGGTGGCACTTGAGGGAGGTGATGTATTTACTGATGCGTGCGTGTCTTCCCAAAGGATCATCCGGGCTTTCCTGATTGAGGAGCAGAAGATTGTGGCCAAGCTCCGCAAGGCCAAGCAGTCTGAGGAGCCCAAGAAGGTTTCGAAGAAATGAGTGCGCCTTTGAATCCGGAGCCTAAATAAACTCATTGGTGTGTATATAGGGATCCCCCTGTGTTGTGTGTCTAAATGCGTGTTCTATGGGCTGTTTTGGCCACTGTGTGTTGCATTGTTATGCGGAGGGCAAGTTCGTCTGCTTCTTGCGCAGGGGGTAGCGGTGACGTCAGAACGCCGAGCCCTGATTGGCTGATCACGACCCCCTATCTGAGCGTCGTCTGCTCCTTTGCAACGTCGTCTGCGTCTCTCTTACCTTTTCTGCGACTTTCGGAAGGGCAGAGGCTAGATTTACGAAACGATCTTACGCCAAAAATGTACGCAAGACAAAACTTGAGAACAAATTCGTATTCACGAAACGAAATTTTCGTAAGTTTTGCGCAGGTTACGACGAAATCCTACGGCAGCTCCGAAGCTGTCTTGCGCACTTCTTACGATCAAATCAGCATGGCCGACAGCGTCGCGACCGATAGCGTCGCGGTCGCGACGACCCACGGACGTTTATTTTTCTACCTGCGCTTCTGACGCATTCCGACTTCAAGCAGCAAGAGCAAATTAAGAAGTACTTGAAACAGACCATGACGAACAAGAGCGCTGGATCCACAAACACCCGGGAAAAGCTCCAACGGCCACGATTTCACCGAACGCGACCAAACCATGACCAAACGAGCTGGACAGTTAGGCCTAGCAGGCACTCTGTTGTAATTGAGTTTATGAATCGCCACCAGGGTGTCCCTTTTCCTTTAATCGCCCTTGTGCGCGTGAATAAAGAAGTGTAGCAGCGTTCGTCGGGGCTGGACGTGTCCTTTTTCCTTCGGCGTGTCCGCATGGCCGCGGGCCGCCGCTGCCCTCCACGCCATCGTCGTCGTACCGTAAGCCTTCCTGCGCATATATCCTAATGCAGTATAGCCCCTCAAACACTACATTCTGGCGACGAGGATAACTGGAATAACTGAGATCGAGCTACCTCGACAGATTTCAAGATGTCAGCGTTCGCGAGCACAGCTCCTCCGCCATTCATGCCAATACCGGGTGCCCCCGCGCTACCCTGGGCGATGTGGAAATTAATTTTTTTAAACCACTTAGATGCTATCGATGCCGACGCATTCACCCCGAGACGGAAACGGGCCCTGCTAATTGGAATGCTTGGCCAGGAGGGTCAACGGATCGTGTCCACCTTCAACCTAGCAGGAGCTGCCGTTAGCGCCGAGCTTACTGAATTCGACGTACTGCTCCAGTCATTAGATCGACACTTCGGCTTTACTACCAACGTAGTTCTCGAACGCAAGAAATTCTTAACTCGGGTTCAGGCCCCAGGAGAAAGCGTATTGGAATTCCTTGGCGCTTTGCGTCACCTGGGCTCCTTTTGCAATTTCGGAGCGACTTTAGAAGATCGCATCGCCGAGATTTTTCTGGCTGGACTACGATCATCAGAGGTACAAGATCGCTTAATCCGAGAGGCTGCGGGGGCTCAGCCACCAAGCCTCGAACGTGCTGTACTCCTTGCTCAGCAGTTCGAGCAGTCCTCTCGCGATTGCGATCAGTACCGCCAGCTATCAACAAATTTAAACTCGCAAGTACAGTCTTGTGTTGAGCGGGTCTTCGCGCCGCGGACGCAAGACAACGCCGCTCGACCGTCACCGTTATCAGGCCGTGTCCAAGACGGCGAGCGCCAGCAATTCGTTGCCTCCTCATCCCGAGCTGAAGGTTTCAATTTATCTCCGCGCCACCAACCGCGCCCAGCGGCTTGTGTTTGCGAGCGACGACCAGCACGTGACGCCCCTCTGGGAGCGCGTGCTTTCCGTTACGGTGCACCATTATGCGACTTTTGTGGCCGTCAACCCCACCCTCGGGACCGATGCCCCGCGTCGGGGGCTACGTGTTTTTCATGTGGCAAAGCCGGACACTTCGCCAACGTGTGTCGGAGTCGTCCACCTCCATCCGCCTGCGATCGGCGCCAGCTGGCCTTTCCCGCTGGGCGCGGCCGAGGATCCGGTCGCCGACTTCCGCCAAACGGAGGCAACCGAGCGCGGGCCCCCATCCATGGCATCGTGACCTTCCCTGAGGAGGACGAGGACGAGGAGATCCTGTCCACTGTCTACACCGTCAGACCGGCCAGAAGTCCTTCGCAGCATGACCGTCACCGTAGCCTCAACTTCGTAGTCGACGTGGAGGTGAACAATTTTCCCATGTCCCTTCTGATTGACACTGGGTCCGAAGTCTCAATTCTCTCTGAAGCGACGTTTTCACGGCTCACGACCTCTAAAGAACTACAGTTAAGAAAACCGCCACGGACCCTCGTCCATTATCTGCGAGGGCAGATCCCCGTTTTGGGTTGTTTTTACGGACTTGTCAAATTTCAGGATCGGTCGGCGACTATTCTTTTTTATGTTGTTCGTGACGGCCGATCGCTCCTTGGCACCGATGCCGTGCGCGATCTGAAACTTATCCTTTCGGGCGCGTCTCTGGCGTGTCGTATCGTTCATACAGGTGGCTCTCGTTCAACCATCCCGGGACATGTGACACCGGCTGGTGTTTCACAGCCAACGAGTCCCAGTCCATCAGGTTCTTCAGACGAGTCTCAGAGACCTTCGAAAGTATCTTCAGATCCATTGAACACGCCCAGTCCTCTAAATCGTTTTTCAAGTATCCCACATGAGCCATCTGTGCCAGGTGTATCTCCACCGAGGACACCAAGCACAGCTACGTCGAGGGACGTTTCCAAGCTTCCTGCTGGCTTCGAACATTTCGAAGATCTCTTTTCACCTGGTCTAGGTCTGGTAAAAAACCAAACCCATACGATCACCGTCCGTCGAAATGTGCCGCCAGTTCAAGCCAAGCTCCGTCGACTGCCGATCACCCTGCGTGACGTAGTAACGGCGGAGATCCTGAAGCTCGAGCAGCAGGGAGTTATCGAGCGCGTGAGTGCTTCGGAGTGGGTTTCGCCCATCGTGGTTGTTAAGAAGAAAGAGGGCGGCATCCGTATGTGTGTGGATCTCCGAGCGCCGAATAAGGCCATCGTTGTCGACTCTTTTCCGCTCCCACACATTGACGAGCTGTTGAACTCCTTAAGTGGAGCATCCCACTTTTCCAAGTTGGATCTCGCATCAGCATACTATCAGGTCCGGCTTGATCCTAAAAGCCGTGACCTTACAGCGTTCATCACTCATGAAGGCCTTTTTCGTTTCACACGAGTTTGTTTTGGCCTGGCTTCCGCGCCTGCAGCGTTCCAGAAGATCATGTCTAATATCCTTAAAGACTGCAAGGGCGTACAGTTTTACTTGGACGACGTCATTGTGTACGGTTCGTCTCAGCAAGAACACGATGAAAATTTGCATACTGTGCTCCAGAAAATTTCCCAAGCTGGGATGAAACTCAATAAGAAGGCCGTTTTTAGTGTCCAAGAGCTTACTTTTCTCGGACATCGTCTGTCGGCGGGAGGCTTAGCGCCCCTTCCGTCAAAGATAGACGTCGTTCTGAATTTTCCGGCGCCATGTGACCCTTCTCAGTTGAAGGCATTCTTGGGCCTTGTCGAATATTACAGTAAGTTTATCCAGCACTGTGCCACCATTGTGGAGCCCCTTCGTCGTCTTCTACGCAAGGGTGTGACTTTCGTCTGGTCGTCCGAAGCCGACACCAGTTTCCAGCAGATCAAGGCCTGCATTCAGCAGGCACCCATTTTGACTATGTTCGACCCTTGCCTCCCAGTTGTTGTGTCCACGGACGCCTCAAACTACGGGCTGGGAGCTGTTCTACAGCAACAGCATGGATCCCAGCTGAGGACTGTTGCTTTCGCCTCCCGTTCTCTCACGGAAGCAGAGCGAAAATACTCAACTGGGGAGAAAGAGGCTCTCGCAATCCTCTGGGCCTGCGAGAAATGGCACATCTACCTCTGGGGTCGACAGTTTACCATCCGGACCGACCACCAAGCATTGGTCACCCTGATGTCTACGCAAGGAGCTGGCGTGCGCCCATTGCGCATCAGCCGCTGGGTTGCCAGGCTCTTCAATTACAACTTTGTAATGGAGTACCGCAAAGGAACCGACAATGTCGTTGCTGATGCCCTTTCTCGCCTTCCAGTTCACGATACTGAAGATGGTACGACTTTTAGAGAAGAAATTGTTTCCATCGTCTGCGCTTCCCTCACAGAGAAGGATTTCCAGGAGGCAACTTCACGAGACCCTGCGTTGCGTGAAGTCATGAAATATACTTCATCATCATGGCCAGAGGAAGGCAAGCTATCTCCAGAACTCAGGTCATATTTCGTTCTTAGAGATCAGCTTTCCGTGGTCGACGGACTCCTTTTCCAAGGGGAGAAGATCATCGTGCCGCCGAGTCTGCGCGACAAGGTTATCCAGATCGGCCATGAGACCCATCAAGGAATATCGAGGACGACGAGTTTTATAAAGGAACTTTATTGGTGGCCACATATCGCAGAAAACATCAAGAACGTAATCCAGCATTGCACTGTTTGTCACTCCACCGACAAGCCCGCTAAGGCTTCCCCGGCGCCCCTACAGCCGGTAGCATTTCCTTCCCGTTCGTGGACCAAGCTTGCCATCGACATCGTTGGGCCGTTTGAGCAAGCCCCACCAAAAGAATGTTACTTCATTACTTTGGTGGACTACCACAGCAAGTGGCCGGAAGTGGCTTCGTCCCACAACGTCACGACAGCGTCAGTCGTTGACTTTTTGAAATCGATTTTTTCTCGAGAGGGCCTGCCTCTCGAGATAACAACAGATAACGGTCCACAATTCACATCCTATGAGTTCAACCAGTTCCTAGAGACAAATGGCATAAAACACGTAAAATCTTCCCTTTATCACCCTCAAGGTAATGGGCAAGTTGAAAGATTCAATAGAGTCCTAAAATCCGTCATCCAGTTGGCAATGGTGCAAAACCGTCCGCTTCGAGAGGCCATCACTGAATACCTTGGAGTTTATCGAAGCACTCGGCATGCGGCCACAGGTGAAACCCCGGCGTTTCTGCTGCATGCAAGAAATCATCGGACTCGCCTACACATCCAAGGACGAGCAACTCCGGATCCACCTCT